CATAATCACATCTACACACAAATCAGAAATAATCGAGAATAGCCCTTAAAACACTTTGAAATTGCTCAAAAAAGTAATATATTTAACTTTTCATTTATCATTTTGTCTTGACTTTATTAATTTACTTTTGTTTACTGTAATTAAAATTTTTAATTTTGTACTTTAATTTCATTAACTTATTGTTTATTTGTACACTATACTAATATTATTTTGAAGAATATACTCAAAAATATCGTTTGACACACAAAACTTTTTACCCATTAATTTCCTAATCCGATATCCGAGTCGTATCGAATATCTTGACAAAAACGTGAAAAAATATAGCACATATAACTAAAAAAAACTTTTCATATACTTTCTCACCTTCTCAGACACAAAGAACGAGCAAAAAAAACTTACTTGCAACCCTTTAGTAACAATCTATCTCTTATATCAGGTTTCCTTGCGCAAACAAACCTTAGTCCTTGAACTAAATATTATAAAAATGATATTTTTTTGCACAAATGCATCTGCTTGAAAAGGGTAAGATGAATACTGAGTCCTTTGTGCATTTTTCTGTCTGGCGTGTGTACTTATTTGTATTTAACTATTCAATTATACGATTTACCTGTATGGGTGCGAGATGTACCAGACGCATAAAAGGGAAAGGGAGTCCGAAAAAAACTCTAGACTAAAATATAATAAAAAAATAAATAGATAGGAGGAATATATAAACTGGTTTCTAATGCTGTACTAGAATGCATTTAGGAGTGTGTGATCCAGACAACCTACGCACATGTATGGTCGAATTCTTTTGTAGATAGTGAAAGAGTTAAAAAAGGGAAATTGGTATTGAAATCGATTCGAATTTTTTAGACCGGCTGGCATGAAAGTTTTATGGGAATTGGGTTAAATGAGTCGGATGGATATATATATAAATATATGTATAAATATGAACTGGCCATAAAGATCATTTATTTGCTAAAAATAAATCTATAAAAAAGTCATAAAATTATGTAAAGTTTAAATTTATAGGTTTGATATAATTTGCAATCAACTCGTCGAATTAGCTGATTGATTTTCAATTCTTTATTTATATATCATCTATACATCAATCAATAAATCAAACCAGGAAAGAAAAACAAAAACTAAAATTGCTGCTGACATGCTTATGAGCTCATATTATATATTGGGATGCTGAATTGGATATTTCACTCGAAGATGCATCTAATACAGCTCAGCAATCAATTGAAAAGATTGATTGTGCGTTATTTTCTATCTTGATAACTAGTTGTAACAGAATAGCATTTTTGTTTGGATTTTTATTATTAAATAAATCAAATAAATATAAATATAAATATAAATATAAATACATTTTCATTGAAAATTATGACCCTAACACATTGTTTTTATTAGACATGGTTTGTTTTATAGTAAATAGTATTTACTAAATACTTTGAACTTGATCATGTTTAGCATTTAGCATTTGATGATTAACATTGAATGATAATTATAATTTTTTATGAAGACTCTCTTTATGAGAAGATACCTTCAATATGTTATTATAGTCAATGTGTGTACTATCAGCAGATAAGAAAATCAGTACAAGGCTTAGACGTATGACATAGATGATTTTTTTGTATTATTTGTACAATGAAAATATTGATATGAATTTTATTAGGAAAAAATGCTAAAGTAAACTGCTTGTGTTTGAGACAAATATAAAAGATAATATATATCAAAATAAATTAGAAAAAAGCCTCAGTTAGTAAATTGGAAGGTCTATTTGCCAGGAAACTGATCATATGAATTTGAGAATTTGTGTATTTTTTATGGAATAATAATAATAAAATGGGTTGTCCTGTACTAGGGCAGGTCTATGAGCTGAGTAAAACCTCTATTTGAATCACCCAAGAATAAGAAATTAGAAAAAAAGAAAGAAGAGAAATTTAACATCGCAGTGCCCGAAAATGGATCATTTTCAATTGGAAATATATTTTTGATCTATTTTTTCAAGTGAACATGAAAATTGCTACTGCACGATATCAACGTTTAACCGTTACGCCATGGAACACCAATTTTTATATAGCAAACATACAAAATTATTTAAAGCATCGCGATTTTCCAAATGATCTTCTCATGATACAAAAATATTATCAAACCCTGTATGCAGTTAGGATGCATCAATTTATAATTAGTAATTTAAAATTCTCTCACATGTTTTGACATGTTTTATCATCTAAATGTATCCATTACAGTGACAAATATACTATCCTTCCCGATTATTAAAAATAAACTACCTAGAACTTAAAACATTTTTCTAAACCATAAACCACGCATTACATCAGTTTGTGTCACGTCGTATCCCAAAATAAAATCTACAGAATATTTAAGAAGCGTATGCATTATTATTTGAAGTTATATTTAACGCGACCGATGTACATACATCCACGTAACTCAAACTCAAACAAAGTTGCGTATACGAACGTTATTCATATGTATATGTAGAGTACAATGAACGCGCGTCGGTGGCCTTGTGAACACTTTACTTTCTGTTTAGTCAAATATTATAGATATACGCACATAAAACATACATATACATATGTTCAGATTAGTGTTTCGGATACTTCGTAGTATAATCTTGCGGTTTACTTATACAGAGAAAACTCACGTGTGTATATGAAACACATTTCAGACGAAAATAATTTTATATCGCATTGTTTGTGAGTAGAAATGATCTGGCTTATATTCGGTAATCCGTTGAGTGATTTATCAAAACTCGGAAATGTGGCATAACAAATTTTAAATGATTCAATGTAAGAATCAGGGCTATAAACTCAAATTCACATTGATATAACTACTTTCATATTTTCTCAAAACAAAATTTTATAAACGTTTTAAAATTTCATAAAATAATATTTTATATGTACTTGTATAATTATATATTTATTGTGGACATAATAAATATTTCAATAAATCGAGAAACTGTTATGGTTCCCCATGTGTATCACTAAATTGGCATTAAAATCACTAAATACCCATGTGTAATATCCGAATTAACAAAAATCTTATGATTTTAGAAATTTACGTAAAACTGTCTTATAACTTTTTCATCGTACAATTAGTTGCAATTTTTCAAAAGTGGGGGCATGTTTGTGCGGATATAAATTTTTGTCGACAATTTCGGGAATATGGATTAGCTGATTTGAGAAATTCATTTAATTGGGGAGACGTGCTGATTACCTTGGAGAAGGCAGGTCCAACCGTTTCGAAGATACGGAAAAAACGTGCAAAAAACACAATTCCGCGTTTGAGAGAACGGAGCGTCAATTTCAATGATTCAAAAAACATTTTAATTGTATTGACGAAATGAAGAACTGATTAAATTTTTGGAAAGGCAGGTTTAGCACTTTTGGAGGTACTATAATAATGAGTAAAAAAGTTTTGCCGGAAAAAATAATCATTAAACTTACACATCAAATTATCAGATATTTTATAGAGATTGTAATAATAGATACAAATTTTGTTTACATTTCTATGAGTTTCATACCAATGTTTATCAGTAGACTCTACGGCGCTTACGCGCTTTGATATTTCACCTCTAAAACAGCTACGCAGCGCAATTGCTTTTTCAAAATTCTCAGATCTATTTTTTAATCAAAATGTGAAAAAAATCAGAATATAAAAAAATCAAAATTTTCAGAACTAATTTTTTTCAAAAAAAATTAAATCATTTTAAAACAAAATTTTGCCTCAAGGTACGGGAAATTCCAGTAACATGCCTGAAGACCCCATGCCATGCACTAATATTTTATATTTTATAGTTATGGTAGAAATTAAAAAAAAAGTTGAGAATCGCTGTGGTTATCACTTTGTTATGACTGTAATCTGAATTATCTCAAAGAACAAATTATTAACATTTAATATACACTTCAAAAGCCTATCATACTTTTCAATTAATTCATATAAAATGTTAATATTATTTTCTCTACTTTTATATTATATTATATTATCATTGAATTAATTTCTCGATCAATTACCGCGATACAGTATATGCACAACAAAATGTAGGCTTTTGATATCTGTGTGTACGAAGGTTAAATTTCGTTTTATATAAATTAACCTTCCATTGAAATCTACATGACATTGAATTTCGGTCTTGAACATTATTAATCTCTTTGTCAGTGTTCGTTATAATTTGTGTATGTGGGTCCCTGTATCATTCAGTACATGAGTTTATATTTTAGGCTCACTTGTGCGTGTATGTAATAAAGTTCAAGTACAATGTTAAATTATTCCGTTGATATATATATATATATATATATATATATAATATATATATTTACGTAATATACCAATACTTAAATATTAACCTTCGCAAAATCTAAGCGTCAATTACACTAACCTTGTTTCAAATATCTTGCCAAAAAATTACAAGGTTTGGATATTTTCGTGTATCGATTATGTATTTTCTATATCACTCATATATGCACAAATAAATGTATCTATATAGATATATTTTATAAACATGGGCATTTAGAAAATTTTACATATTTTTTTGAAAGACAGATAAAATATGAAGTTATGTATGTTGGTAACTAAAAGTACATTACGCCTCAAAATATTTTTACCATAACAAACATAATATTAGATAGAATTTATCTATAAACATGAATTTAAAGAGAACTCTATTATTTATGAGATGATCAAAATATAATCACAAATATTCGAAAATATTACAAAGAATGTAATAATAGTATGCAAAGTCAATTTTAAAATTAATTAAATTTTTAACACGTGCCGTACTTTTCATAATGTTCATTTGTTTCAATGTCGCTAGAAAGTTCATTAACACCTTATCACTCATTAAGATATTTGCTGGAACGCAAAAAACATTTTTGATATGGAAACAAGGTCTTATCAAATTGATTATATTATATATGTATGTATATATATATATATATATATATATATATATATATATATCCATGTATGGTTGATGTGTCTTTGAATGGTCTTACCTTGCAACCTTCACAAGAATGCACGCCATAATGAAAACCGCTTGCTTTGTCCCCACATACCCTGCACAGCACTGTCGTTCCATCAAATTCTGCAAATCGAGAAAAATGCTTTTATTAATTTCACGATATAAAATTCCACAAATACCTATATTTCAGGTATTTCAAAATTATTTTGAAAAAAAAAATGGTATAAGTAGTTTTTGCGGTTGCCCTTGACTTATATCTCTACTCGGTCAAGATATGATAGAGAAGATTACTTTTTAACATATATTAAACATTTTTTTAACAAAAAAGTTAAACTTCTTATATAATTTTATCATATATATTATGCATTACATATCAGAGTAGTGAAGGTCAAAAAATACTGATGTGATTATAAGCTTAAAGGAATGCTGAATAGGATATTTCTCTCGGTGATGCATCTAATACAGCTCAACAATCAACTACAAAATATGCTTGTGCTATTTTCCATTGTTTAATAACTATGTAATAGATTCGCATTTTTGTTTGGATTTTTAATTATATGTATAACATAGAAACACGTGTTTGTTACATCATAATAAATTGACTAAAACAAATATATACTAATTACTATACTATACTATATTACTAATAATTACCTTTTGTAGAAACATTCATTTTGATATGCAATAACATCTAATTGATGATAAAACTTTATATATTTATTTTGTAGATTAAATATGATATAAAAATCTAATATGAAATATTTTTAAGAGGAGAATTTTTTAGTGAAATTAAAATAAAAACCTTCGGATATAAAACTGCTTTAAGCTGATAATAATAAATCTTTTTTATATGTATAACATAAGATCTAACAAAATAAAATAACATTTTAAAATTTTATTATACTATTCTTATTATTATATATTCAGATTTTTCCATATTCATTTTTACGATTATGATGATTGATTAATCGTATTTTATTCGATCATAAATCAGAGGTCATACGAACCAATAAATTTTTAGTATCAAATTCAATAAATTTTATGATCATATCTATTGAAATTGATCATATTTGAAAATTGTGAAAACACAAGACTTTTATAATTATGTATTTCATTACAAGGAACGAATTCGCGCCTTGAATGGGGACCTCGAGGTTTCTGTTTTTGTAATTGCGGAAGTACATTGTATTTCTTCGGATTGAATTAAAATAAATTTTAACGCCTTTATGTTATAAATTATCACTTATAAACTTAGTGAATTTGCATATATTTAGTACTACAAATACGAAGTACTTCTACTACAGTACATAGTTTTTAGTGTAATGTTTACTAAAATAAAAATATTAGTATGAGCTTTTTAAATTTTTATCAAACAATTTTTTTTATTCTCTCTTTTATTTACAACTGTTTACAACTGTAGTTAAGGACATTTAATAATTTTAACTATTTACTAATAAAATAATTTCTTATAAATAATGACTAAGTTATTTCAATTTTTTATCATGAGAGTTAATGACTTAAATCCAGTGGCGCTTTTCTTTTCACCTTCTTGGGTAGTTCTGTTATCAAGGAATTTGCTTACAACTTTATCTTAAACACGATATAATTGTTTAGTATTTTTCATCACTTGATATATATCATTATTGCTTATATAATAAATAGAAAAATGAAAATATTATTTATAATTTATGGTTCCGCGGTTGACGCATTTAAAATAAACAAACATGACAAATTTCTAACGTGAATTTTACCTAAATGGCCCTAGATAATCTTTGGAAATTAATTCGTCAATCGAGTATTAACAAATATGTAATCCCAATTAATACATTTCGTGAAATATATTTTATTTAGCATAGCGCATATCATATATATTCTCGTATTTATAAAACATAAATAAATATATTTTGTTGAAGAGCTTTTCTAAATATTTGATATAAGTAAAAAATTAGGAAAACAATTGTGAAGTAAAATACATTTATTTTTGCATAGACGTTAAATATATGGATTTATAGATATGGATTCTATGCTCCAATCTCAACCTAACAATATATACATATGTATATATACATACATATTCAAAAGACAATTAGCAAACGTTTGATTAAATTTAGTATGAATTTATAATAAAGCGAAAGCAATGATTTTCTATAAAATATTAAAATTCAACGAAATTCACATAAAGAAGAAATTTACTTTCATTTATTGCCAATTCAACCAAATTAGCAAAAGTTAGATTTTTGCACAAAAATTGGAATTAATTGAGTATAATCACCCACGTATATACAAAATACATACATACCTATTTATATTTATATATGTATTTAGACATGTATGTGATATGTTGTTGATAAAAATTGTGCCTGTACGGTGCAAGTCACCATCTTTATGACTTTCACATGAGAAAGTATGAATAAAGATATATGGCTATGAAATATAGAAATGATACATACATTATATATTTACATACTTGTGCATCTACATATGTATATGTATGTATATGTATCTATGCATGTATATGTATGTATAAGGTTATTAGTGCATACATATTTTGCAACTTAATTAAATGAATTAGCGATATAAAGTCCTTTATTAATTTCCACTTGTTGTGATATGAACATAAATATGTAACATATATAAAATTCGATAAAATTGTAACATACACATAAGAGCATTGATTTGTCGTTATAGCACATGAGCATGTGTTATCGCGCGTATACATGGTGAGTGATCGAGACTATGTTGAATATATGTTCCAAGGTTAACTCGAAAGGTTAACGCTCTGGCCGACGCGCTTATAATGTGTTAGTATAAGTTCCTGCAATACACATATCTACTTATACATTCGTGTTCTTTTCATTTATGTTGGTTGAATGTAGTGAAAGTGTGCTTTCTCTCATAGAGATGTCTCTAAAACGATTAATGTCAGTTTCCAATAAGATTTATTCGATTAAAATAATTAAAATCTTGTCCGCTGATAAGTCGTTGCACTGTGATGAACTCTGCTTTTTGCAAAGTGAAATTTTGTAAGAGATATTTGCAAAAACGTAAAAGAAAAGGAATCACTATTAGTATTTTTTTAGTTTGATAATATTCTTGTTCTATATTTAAGCTAGCTCTGTATTTAGCTAACTAAAATTATTACCAATTATTACCACTGATTATGATAAGTGCTTGCTCAAGTTCAAAAATTTAATATGAATCATGTGATATTTCCATCATTATAGTTGAACTAAAATAATACTACATTTGAACTCATGTCAATGTACTTGAGCTCGTGTGTCAATAATATGTCAATGACATATCTCAATGTCAATATTAAATCTGAGTACATACCGAGAAGAGAGATGTGTACATATGTATATTGTGCATTATATATATATATATATATATATATATATATATATCTATATATATATATATATATATATATATATATATATTTATTATGTACTGAAAGCATCATAGCTTTACATCGGTATATGCAATCATCAGCTAAGATTAGATTTTGAAAAGTGCTAAAGGATGTTACAAAGTCATTATGCTATTAGTTCAAGGTGATAGAGATGTTTTAAAATGTTACGTAATATATATTTCTAGTTGCAATAATACTGAAAGATGTAAACAAAAAGTACCAAGTTATGTAGTAAGAGCTTAAACTGTAAAATTTCCGGCAAGTTAGTAATGAAACATTCATTTTATTTTATGACTTGCACAGTGCATAAATGTTTTTATTACTGTAAAGTTTTTCTTACATACCGATATTTAAATCAGGTTCATTTTGCTTCATCAACAAATTATTTGCAGTGGTCGTATCCGCGATTTGGTAATTTTCATAAGCATTTTTTGAACATTGCTGTTCGTTGCTGGAAATCATTTGTTGAGCATTGTTGTTGAGGACGATACAACCTTGTCTAATTTGTTGTTGACTGTTGATTACGTGTTGGTTTTGATGATGTGATTTTGATTTTCGTACAAATTCATCGGGTTTGACGAATAATTGTAACTGCTATCTGGTGACATCAACATTTGATAAGATTTTTGGTTCCTTTTTAAATTAAGTACAAGAAGTAATCCAAGAAGTTAATTTTAGGTAAACACTCCATAAAATATCACTGATAAGTTCACATTATTTTATTTATAAGGCACAGTATATAAATATTAAAATACACACACTTTTAATTTTTTTATGTGAAAATAGCTTTAGATATGATTTTAAGGCACTTTGTTAAATATCCAAATATTTTAACAGATTTACTGTTAAAATAAAAATAAACTATCACACATTTGTTTATAATCCATTCGGTAAAGCCACTATCATAAGTCACATCAATGTACACAAAAATGACATTATTTTTAACACATTTTGTCCGGCATAATAACATTGACCAGAGATCAATATTTTTTTCAAAAAATACCCTTTACATCGATCACTTTTCCGTTACGTAATTTGAAAATTTGAACACAAATATTTTTAAGCACTTTATGCAAGAAAAAATGATGAACTTGTTTTTCAAAACTTTTCAAAAAATATGCACATACAAAA